CAATATCCCTCCTTACACAACAGAGTGCAAACTGCTAACCGGGAGGGACTGTAGCTCTATCGTTTGCGAGTGCGACATTGTCTCGTTTCAAAAACAACCCTTCACAAGACTTCCCGAACAAGAGGTGCTATAATTCCTATTCTTTTCCTCCAACACTGCAAAGGACACGAAATGCTGCCGCGTGCGTGGCGAAGCTGGCAAAGCACGCGGCTGCCACGTGGAGGTACGGCATTCGAATCCAGCTCGGCCCGGTCGCAAGATGATGGTCAAACATGCCTCAAGAAGGAGCCGTGCCGGTGATGAATCGTGTCTACGGCTCCGTCTGCTTGCGGGATTTTAACCTTGGTCGGCTCGGCGGACGATGCCCGTGGCTGCATTCCGGCGTGTCTGCGTTCTTCTGCCTGCGGGACCGTAGCCTTGGTCGGCTCCGTCTGCCTGAGGCACCTTAACCTTGGTCGGCTAAGTGGACGACGCACGCGCCCGTGGCTGGATTCCGAGGCTCCTGCTTTTCTCGAAAAGTAAACAACCCTCGATCCTGACCTCGAATGCCGTGTGTTGTGTACGCGTCTATTGTGAGTTACTCACGGTTCATGGGGGCGTCGGCACTATAGAGCAGCGAGATACTGCCGCCTGGATGACTTCCATACACCGGCGCCAGGATTCCGAGTCCGAAGGAAACTTCCATGACGTCACATCACGCGAGGGAATGCCGATACGTCTGAGCAATTGTAGTGCGGTCCCCTAATCCCAGTATTGCTATATAAAGGCCAGTCCACCGCACCCTCAATGTCTTCCCTGATTTTGAACCAACTGTGTACATGTAAATAAACAGTGCACTCTTCGAGAGAGATCGCGGCTCATTGTCGTTCCCGCTGAGCTCTAGCCCGGTGCCTGGCTCGAGTAGCCCCTCCACCACCACGGGTACCGCTCGGTCCCAACACTGCTCAAGATAGACTACAGTGCCCTAGCAGCACATCTGTATCGTTCTTGATATTCTTTGAACAGCTGTCGGCAACTAACGTACCCGGCGGTGAAAAGTGTCGCATCCAAGCTAGCTGCAGTGCCCTCCTAGTGCCTCTTCCTCGAAATATGGCTGCAATGTGGGCATATGCGTCCCAACTTGTTTCTGAGCAAAAGGGGGGGGGGGGGGGGGGGAAACAGACGTCCCCCCGCCCCCGCCTCCCCCCGGGGGCCGGGGTGTGGTGCCCCTGGTATCCCTCGGGCGCCGCCGGTCAGTGTTTACCATGCCCAGTGGCGGCTGTTTCAGGGGGGGGCAAAACTCATGCCTTGCCCTCCCCCCCCCTCCCTCTGAGAACTGGCCGGGCAAGCGCCCCTTGCTCCCCCGGTTCGTACGCCCATGCCTATGGATGAATTTCAGTCTAGCCCCACCACCTGGGCATACTCAGAGAGGGGGGGGGGGGGGGGGGGGGGGCCAGAAAACACACTGCACCTCAGCGTGTCGGGTTACTGTTACTATAAAAAGGTCACTATGTCACGACCGAGAGAAGACAAATTCTATGTTTTACTGATGTTAAATTCTTCCACAGCCCTATCGATAAGCCTGACAGATGTTGTTTACGATTTTCATAAATCAGAGGACTGCAAGAGTCTGAATCCGAGAGCTTCGTGTATTGGTAAACCGGCATTCGTTTCGTTTGTCAATATGCTACTCTTCCGTCAGTGACAACTCAATCTCAGCACTAAGAAAGGAAGCACCGCGTGCCTGAGTTAAGTCGTAGACTGCGCGACAATTTTAAGGGCGATTCACACACTTGCGTTGAGTCGAACCGAGTGCGATGGTTGCTATGGAAACAGCTTCGTCGGGTCCAACAAAACTGGTTTTTACCCCGTTTTGTTGGAGCCGACACAGCTGTTGACATAGCAACACGTACGACGCAAGCCGTTGCAGTTGCCTTCGGTCAGACTCGACGCAAGTGTGTGTGTGTGAACCGTCCTTTAGCGTGAACATGACAGCGGGGGCTTCTTTGCATGTCGCTCACACAGTTCAGTGTCTAAGGCGCCGTAGTGACTACACTCTAAAAAATACCTGCACGTCTACTTACCAGCAAAACACCCAAAGAACCAATCTCTGCAATCTACGAAATCTGCTCAGCGAATGATGAGGCGGAGCATCCGTTTAGACCCAAAAATGAAGTCTGCGCTTTTGCATTACGCCATGCAAAAAATTATGCATGCAAAAAAAAAAAAATGTGTGTATGTGTATACAGCCTAGAACTTGGTCTGCCTCAATGGGCGACGAGTCTCCCAGCAGTATATGAGCAACTTAGCCAGTGCATAACAACCGCTCGCCTGGGGTCTTTAATGTGCACTACGCAGGAGTGATACACGACCGCTGTCACGGTCCGGTGCGGAGCGAGAGGGGAAGCGCACTCGCCGTAGACCGCAACGGGGTTCGGACGCCCGCTATCCCACAGTACGTGGGGTCCAGGGACGGGGGGACAAAGACAAGGCACGTGACGAACAGAGCACTAGAAACATTTAATAAAGGCTATAGTAAGATGGTGACAAAAGTGAAAGGATAATACACACACAGTCTCAATCAGGCGGAAGCATACAAGAGACACTTAATAGCTATCGGCAAGACAGAGGGTACACAACAAGAAGAATGGGAACGATACCGCACTTTGGCGCAGTCCGGCACGACGAGGCTCGCAGAGGCGTGGACGGACGTGAGGGCGGTCGCTTGCGACGGGCTCTGCCTGAACGTGGCGGCGGTGCGCCACAGGCGGGGGTTGTTGGCTTTAGACGCTGTCGCGTCACGGACGGTCGACGCACTGGGGCAGTCCGGCAGAGGAAGGCCGCACAGGGTTGGAGCACAGAAGTAGCTGACGTTCAGTGTCCAGGCGGGTCTTCCCCTTTACCGCGGTGCCCGAGGCTACGCCCGGAGCCGACAGGAAGAGCGGGTTGCGCTCTCGAACCTCCCAAGTCGACTGCCGCGCCGTTTCCCAGTTTCAACCGATCGGCGCTCTTTCTTAATAAAGTAAACAAAACACACCCGCTCCCCTACAATCGCAATACACTCACACACAAAAAAAAAAAAAAAAATTACCGTCACAGCGGTGAAGACATTCGTTGCCCCAAGCTCCAAAGTCAACACCAAAAACGCTCAACTGGGGCATCTGGCAAACTCATTACCGAATTCCACGAAGTGGTACCGCGCCCAAGCATCGGGCAAAAGCGTCCCCCGAACGGGAGTCGAAGAGGCCATAAACAAGTCAAGTAAGGGTCCCAGTTGGGACCGGCGAGGTGCTAACTAGCGCCAACCAGGGAATGTCACACCACCCGCGGCGACCACATGGCCCCGCAGGCAGCCGACGGGGCGCCCTTTACAATACGCGTGGCCCGGCGGGACCAGGCCGGTTTTTGTGACACTACCCCCTTCTTAATAATATTAATGCGTTAATATTTTCCACGTCACAAAAACAAGAATTACCACTGGCATATATCTCAATGTACTCTGGACCGTAGCTGAAAAGGTCAACTCAAACGCTCTGACATAGACACAACTGGCACTGACACATGAAGGAGCATATTAGCAAAACATTCAACACAAGATAAAAATAGGATCGGAACGCTCTTTACTTCTAGATAACTCCCTGACCAACAGCACAATCGCAAAAAAAAAAATACGACACTGAAGCAATTAACCTCGCGGAAAGACTGACGCTCTCATGGCATAGTCAATGATACGTACTTCCACCAAATATACTGGCCTAGCCGCACACTTGGTTACGCCATGCAGCAGACGTACAAGAAATCTACACAAAAATAAATACAATAGAGGAGCTTCTAATTCACATTACGAGACAAGGCGTCACACGACGGTAGCGCCGGCGCCGTGATCAGCGGTTACTCAGCGCGACTCAGATAGTCGGCGCCGACGTTTTCTCCTCCCTTTATGTATTCCACGCGGAACTGGTACTCCTGAAGCTGAAGGCTCCATCGCAGCACCCTGCCGTTCAGGTGCTTTCCTCTATTGATATACTGAAGCGGCTGGTGGTCAGTCTGCACCGTGAAGGGTCGGCCATAAAGGAGCGTGTCGAAGCGCTTGATCCCCCACACAAGGGCGAGTCCCTCCCGCTCTATGGTGGCGTAGCTCATTTCCCTGGGAAGCAGCTTGCGACTCGCGTACGCCACCGGGTGGAGGACGGCATCGTGCTCCTGCATGAGCACGGCTCCGACACCGCGGTCCGACGCGTCCGTGCGGAGCACAAACGGACGATCGAGGTTCGGCAGCCTCAGAATCGGCGGGTTCGCGAGTTTCTTCTTTAGTTCCGTGAACGCCTTATCCTGTTCCTCGCGCCAGGGCACATTGTTGGGTGTCCCTTTTTTGGTGAGGTCTGACAGCGGACTAGCGATGGTTGCGTATTCGGGGATGAAATCACGATAATAACCCGTCAGCCCCAGGAAAGATCTAACCTGACGCTTGGTCGTTGGCCTCTGCACATCTTTGATCTTCTCGAGGATGGAATGGACGGGAGCAACTTCCCCTTGGCCGATGCGATGACCCAGAAACGTGATTTCGCGAAAGCCAATTTCGCACTTACTTGGCCTCACCGTCAGGCCTGCCCTCTGGATTCGCTCAAACACCTCTCTCAGAGTGGCGAGGTGTTCCTCCCACTCGTCACTGGCAATTAGGACATCGTCAAAGTAGTGGCTCACCCCAGGGATTCCCTCGAGAACCTTTCGCATCACCTTGGTGAAGATCGCTGGGGCTGTTTTAATGCCGAAGGGCATATATTTGAACTGATACAGCCCCGTTGATGTTGAGAACGCCGTCTTCTGTTTAGACTCCTCGGTTAGTGGGACCTGCCAGTACCCTTTGGCAAAGTCTAGTTTGGTGAAGAACCTTTTGGTTCCCACAGAGGCGAGTAGTTCGTCCACCCGGGGAATCGGCTCCGCATCGGCCACCAGCACGTCGTTTAGTCTCCGGAAGTCGATGCAGAGGCGGTGAGTTTCGTCGCGCTTCTTAACGACGATCACGGGGAAGTTGTAGGCTGATTGGGATTTTTCGACGATGCCCATCTCCAGCATAGCCCCAACCTCGTCTTCGACAATTTGCCGAACGGCGAAAGGGAGGGGGTACTGCCGGATCTGAATTGGATGAGAATCAGTCAGCCGCAGGTCACATTCCGACAGGTCCGTTCTTCCGGGAACGTCAGAGAAGATGCCTTCGTACGCGCAGGAGAGTTCGCGCGCTTGCTCCTCTCTCTCGGCACTCAACTCAGGCGAAATGTGGACGTTCTCAGCGTTCTCCGTCCGACGCAGCGGCATCACCGGAAGCCCCTCTTCGTCTTCAGCGTCCTCGATTGCAATGACTGAGTTTGCGACAGCGGGTGCCGTGGTCGTATTTGGTTCTCGGATTTCGTACTTCTTCAGGAGATTGACGTGAAACAGCCGGGTGGCATGTCCCAGATCGACCTCGTAGTCGACCTCGTTTTTCTTTGTTACGATCGGGTATGGCCCCTTCCACTGCATGAGCAGTTTGTTGTGCTCAGTCGGGAGCAAAATCAGAGCCTGATCTCCCGGCTGCAGGGAGCGCTTCTGAGACTTGGCATTGTAGTAACGCTCGTATCTCGCGCTTGACCGTCTGAGCTCCTCATGCGCCAACCTGCATGTCTCCTCCAGCCTGTTTCTAAGCTCCGGTACGTACTGATACGTTGACTTGATCTCAGAGGGTAGCGATTCTTGAGTCCGGAGCTCCTTCAGAACGGCCAGAGGGCCGCGCACATTACGTCCGAACATCAGCTCGAATGGGGAGAAGCCCAAGCTCTCCTGTGGCACTTCGCGATAAGCAAACAAGATCGGCCCCAGGTAGCGGTCCCAGTCCTTGGGTCTTTCTTGGCACATTCTTTTCAGCATTCGCTTCAGGGTGCCGTTGAATTTCTCCACCAGGCCGTTCGCCATGGGGTGGTACGGAGTCGTATGAAGCTGGTTGACGGAGAGAAGTCGGCTCACTTCCTTCATGAGCTCCGAAGTGAAGTTGGTGCCCCTGTCGCTGAGAATCTCCTTTGGCACCCCAACCCGTGAAAACATCTCGACCAGGGCTTCGGCAACTCTCTCTGTTTCGATGCTGGGCAGGGCAACGGCGTCCGGATAACGCGTCGCGTAGTCAACCATCGTAAGCACGTACCGGTTTCCCCGGTCGGACCTCGGCGACAACGGCCCCACGATATCAATTGCCACTCTTTGAAAGGGCGTGTCAATCACAGGTACCTTTTTAAGCGGTACCTTCCGGGTGTTTCCTCTTGGGCTGGTTCGCTGGCAGGCGTCACAAGAGGCCACGAAGCGCTTGCATTCGGCGTGCATTCCAGGCCAGAAAAACTCGGCCTGTGCTCTCTCCAAGGTCTTCCTGCCTCCAAGGTGTCCAGCCATTATGCTGTCATGCGCCACTTCAAGCACTGTTCTCCGGTGCAACTCGGGGACTACCAGTTGGCGCGTCTGTCTTCCTGACCTCTCGTGATACAGGCGGTAGAGAAGTTCATTCTCTTGCACAAACTCGTAATAGCTCGTTCCGTCTTTGCACTCCATCTTCTTCCCAATCTTGAGATAACAAGGGGCTAAAGTTTTGTCTCTTTTCTGCTGTTGTCTGAACTCTAAAGTGTTGACGGGTACTCCCTCTATTCGGGGAGTTTTCAAACCCTGTTGCTTGGGCTTCTGTTTCTTGCTATTCCGCGTCTCGACCGCCCCCGCTGTATTGTGACCCTTCTTAGGTTTAGGGCCCTTGGCCTGTTTCTTACTCGTAGGTCTTTGAACTCCGTCTGAGGTCAGGTCCCTTCCACTCTGGGCGTTCGGCTTAACTCCGCCGGCGTCAACGTCGGGTGCGTCGTCCTCTCCCTCGGTGTCCACCACGGGGCTGTCGGGATCTTTGACTCCGGTGATGTTCCCGAGAATCAGGTCGTACAACGGTTCCTCCATGCAGAGGGCCGTCACCACACCCCGAAAGTAGGGGGTTGATACCCGAACTCTCGCCTCGGGGAGCATCTTTACGGTCCCGTCAACCAGGTAAACGGGCCTCCTTATTCCGGTTATCTGGCCGTCGTCAACCAGGTCTCTCTTGATGATCACCGTATTGCTGCCCGTGTCGCGCAATACGGTAATCTTCCTCGTCCCTACGTTGCCCTCTACGACGGGCATTCCCTCAACAAGGAATTCCGCCCGCGAGGTCACAGCGGCATTCACGACAGGAATCTTCTCCCAACTCTTCAGCTCCACGAAACGGTTCCCGTCGGCTGCGTTCATCGGCCCCTCTTTCGGGGCACATACGCACGAGGCCTGAGGCCTCCCGCCGTCGGAGCCTCGGCACAACTCGGTTCTATGCCCCCTGCGGCCACATTTCCGACACGTCGGTACGTTCCCAGCGTTGCTACCGCTACGGCACTGAGCCGCCAGATGGCCGATTTTGTTGCAAAGGAAGCACCTTACCTCCGGCCTCGGCACCTGCTTCCCAGCGTTCTCCCGCACGCTAGGCTCTGCCTCGCTCCTTCGGGATTTCCCTAAGTTCTCATGAGACTGCGCCTCCAAATACTGGTCAGCCAGCTCCAGCAACCCTTCGAGACTCGGAACCTTCCTCTCCCTCAGATACAGGGCCAGACTTGGGTGGCATCCCCTCAGAAACTGGTCCTGTAGGACCAACTCACGGAGGCTTTCGAAATCTCTCGCGGTGCTCGACAGTTCAACCCAGCGGTCAAAGTAGTGTCCGAGCCGGGCGGCATACTGAGTAGCGGTTTCACCGTCGAGCGGTTTCCCCTCTCGGAACTTTTCCCGAAATCCGTCGACCGTGAACCGAAACCTCTTCAGCAAAGACGCCTTCACCTTTCCGTAATTCGCGGCATCCTCCGGCGTTAGGCGTCCATACACGCTGAGAGCCTCTCCGGTCAGGCAGGTACTGAGCGCGGTAGCCCATTGGCCCTCGGGCCATTTCTGACTAAGTGCTATACCCTCGAACCTACGGATGTACGCGTCCAAGTCATCTTTCTTTTCATCGAAGGCGACCAGGAGTTTACTGGGACTCAATTTCAGGGCGCTCTGCCCTTCTCGTTCGCGCCTTTCTTCGGACACGTTACTGGCCGCGCTGACTCTTCCTTCCTTTTCTAACTGAATCTTAAGCTTTAAGATTTCCATCTCTCTCTCTGCGGCTTCTTTAGCAAAAATTCGTTCTCTCTCTGCTGCGTCCAGCGCAGCGTCTCTATCGGCAGCTTCTTTCGCAGCTCCCCTCTGGGCGGCGTCATCAATCCACATTTTTAAGTCGGCCCCAGCCAACCCCAGCTGAGTCCCCACTGACAACAACCTTTCCCATTCCATCTTTGCGCCACAAGCAGTGCCGGAACTATTACGCGAACCGCTTTACATCAACCGTCACTCCGGCAACAATGCGTGCACGACGCGTAAGGCCAAAAGCTTTTCGTAAGGCTCGTCTCCGTCCCGCGGTCCCCCGAAAAACGGGCGTCCTGTCGCGGACGCCAGAAAATGTCACGGTCCGGCGCGGAGCGAGAGGGGAAGCGCACTCGCCGTAGACCGCAACGGGGGTTCGGACGCCCGCTATCCCACAGTACGTGGGCTCCAGGGACGGGGGGACAAAGACAAGGCACGTGACGAACAGAGCACTAGAAACATTTAATAAAGGCTATAGTAAGATGGTGACAAAAGTGAAAGGAAAATACACACACAGTCTCAATCAGGCGGAAGCATACAAGAGACACTTAATAGCTATTGGCAAGACAGAGGGTACACAACAAGAAGAATGGGAACGATACCGCACTTTGGCGCAGTCCGGCACGACGAGGCTCGCAGAGGCGTGGACGGACTTGAGGGCGGTCGCTTGCGACGGGCTCTGCCTGAACGTGGCCGCGGTGCGCCAGAGGCGGGGGTTGTTGGCTTTCGACGCTGTCGCGTCACGGACGGTCGACGCACTGGGGCAGTCCGGCAGAGGAAGGCCGCACAGGGTTGGAGCACAGAAGTAGCTGACGTTCAGTGTCCAGGCGGGTCTTCCCCTTTACCGCGGTGCCCGAGGCTACGCCCGGAGCCGACAGGAAGAGCGGGTTGCGCTCTCGAACCTCCCAAGTCGACTGCCGCGCCGTTTCCCAGTTTCAACCGATCGGCGCTCTTTCTTAATAAAGTAAACAAAACACACCCGCTCCCCTACAATCGCAATACACTCACACACAAAAAAAAAAAATTACCGTCACAGCGGTGAAGACATTCGTTGCCCCAAGCTCCAAAGTCAACACCAAAAACGCTCAACTGGGGCATCTGGCAAACTCATTACCGAATTCCACGAAGTGGTACCGCGCCCAAGCATCGGGCAAAAGCGTCCCCCGAAAGGGAGTCGAAGAGGCCATAAACAAGTCAAGTAAGGGTCCCAGTCGGGACCGGCGAGGTGCTAACTAGCGCCAACCAGGGAGTGTCACACCACCCGCGGCGACCACATGGCCCCGCAGGCAGCCAACGGGGCGCCCTTTACAATACGCGTGGCCCGGCGGGACCAGGCCGGTTTTTGTGACAACCGCACACCGGTACGATGCTCATCCGGATCGAAACGGGCAGAGGTGGGGGTTGAACCCAGGATCCTGGGTTCTGCAGCGAGAGCTTTCGCTCCACGTGCTCCGAGCTGGTGTGCGCTAGCCCACTCTGCCACCGATCCCCGTTCGTCATGCTTGCATTACGTAATGCCACAGCACAGACTTCATTTTGAGGTCTAAAGGGATGTTACGCCTCATCATTCGCCGATCTGATTTCGTAGATCGCAGAAATTGGCTCTTTGAGTGTTTTGCGGGTAAGTAATCGCGTAGGCATTTTTAATGAGTAAGTATGTGGTCGCCCCATATAAGTGCATTCACTGCGTTTAGGTACGGTGCTTCCGAGCGCCATATACAGGCGTAAAAATAACGCATAAACAAATAAATTGAGTTCAACAAAACGTTTTCACAAGAAATTGAGAAAACATTTAACCTTAAAATGCTTTTTTTTCTCTTTTTATGCTTAGGAAGGGAAACGGCAAAAACCGTCTGACACGGCTACTACCACATGACGCAACATGAAGCAGACAGGCTGCATGGACACTGACAAGGTATTTATGGTGGCCAAGGTTTTTATTTGTACATGACATATGAGAGCCCAACTAGCCAGAACACAATTTGCGGCTCGAAATTTGTTTTCTTTCCGCCAAAGAGCCGCCGATCGAGAACTGAACGGTTTGGCTCGCGCTCTCTCTCTTTTCCGTGGTCACGTGCCGTTTTCTTTGGTTTAGCCACAACTACCAAATATAATCACAGTCGTGGGTCATCGAAGGCACACACACACTATTCAAAATAGAAACGTAATATCAGACCCATTATTTGTGCCTTGTAATGCAAAATTCGGTTTGTTCTTGAGGACGGAACCTAGCAGCGCGATATTCACGTCATCTTCACGCCATCTACCAAAACCAGACATGGATGTCCAGTGGCCGCACGTGGTGTCCGGAAGTCATAATAATTATAACGGAGCCGTTTTCAAACCACGGACTTGCATCAGGAAATCTGGAGTCGTCCAATAAATCAATGCATAGAAATGCCACGAGGCTTTTAGTTTGGGACATTTAAAATGCACTTTGCCGGGTTTTAGAGAGAATACCCTAGCAGATTTGGCTCCCTGGAAAACGTCACTTCTTAAGGAGTTTTAACTTCTCGTTGTATTTAATAATCATTTTTGGTATTCTTATTTGCACCAATGGCTCACAAGAAGATTTTACTATACGTTCGTAATTTATTTATTTATTTATTTTAACTTTTATCTGCTTTTTTTAGATATGTAGAAAAAAAAGATACCTGCTTTTAGTGAAAAAGAATCTTAAAAATAACAACGAAGTTTCAAACTCTTACAAATTGAAAAAGAAAGAAGAAGAAAACACTACTTTTAAGAATGAATATTTACAGGGAGCCTTCGAGTGCTCTTTATTTATTTATTTTATGTGTCGGCATTCGATTGAAAAGAAAATCCCATTTGGCCTGTTTAGGTTCTGAAACAGACCTGGCCCCTCTCCTTATAACGCAATATGGCTACCGTATACAGACACATCACGAAGATCGTCCGACTTGAAAGCTGAGCCCTGTTTTCGGAGGATCCAGATGGGAATCTTAATCTGTTTTGCCTGCCGGGTAATCGGATCAAACGCTCGAGATCCGATTAGATCGGTGTTCCGTTTGTTTCGCTTCTTGGACGCTTCAAATGAAATTTAAAACGGCGAACGTCGGAAGTGTGCTTTCCATGTGCGCGTCAGCGTATGCTCGCAAAGCCTTTCGGACTCCTCCTCAAGAACAGCGTTTCGTCGTGTATCAGAACGGGCAGCTAGCGTGCCGGTACGATGAGAGCGCCGAACGTTTCCGCGTCGGTGGGAATGAACTCATCGACCGTTTCAGTAATGAAGGACAAATATTACAAACATCAAAATCCTGCTACAACCAGGGCCCAACCCGCCAACAATGTCCTATTTGCAACGCAGTCCTTGAAATAAAATGCTTTAAACGACGTACTTTTTTGTTTCACTCAATGAAAGAAAAACAACTTAATTTTACCCCTTTAACGTGTTTTGCCCTTATGTGGATAGCATGTTAATCTTTGACCAAGATGTTCCAAGCAGTAAGTGTAAAGTTAAAAAAAAGTTATTGAAATTTGTTTTCTTCACTAATGAAGGAACTATCTTTTTATTTTTTTCTTTCGTGACGCAAATTAACATTTCTGCCCCCATAGCTAAGGGTTAAAGCAAAGGTCTTTCGATCCACATATGACATTTCAATATCCGTCTGGACTTCCACGCAGGTCCCATGGCAGTACTACACAGACTCCGACTGGGGGTGGCGTTTACCCGACACTTCCTACATCGAATAAAAAGAAGAGACAGCCCAAACTGCCCAGTCTGCGATGTCCAGGAAACTGCAAATGACCTTATCTGTGAATGTGCCGTCTACGCCGTGGAAGGAGGAGACCTTCACAGAACAATAGAGGCTAGACGACCGACCTTTCTCCCGCGACAAAGTGCTGGGCTTGTGGCAGTCCACGGAACGTTCAATGAAAGCCACAAAAGCCCTGATACAATTTCTCGAGGACACCCGGTTGATGCAATCCCTGTAGGCAGAGCCTGACATTTTCAACTATTCAACCCATCAACCTTTCAACTCTCTCTCCTCATATTCATTAAGCACCTCATCCCGCCTTTTTATTCCTTAGTCCTTTCCCCTGTGCAGAGCATGCAGCCAGCTAGAACAGAAGTCCAGGCTTACGTCTCTGCCTTTCACTCATCACTTAAAGAAAAAAAAAAGCAAAGGTGAAATGGCGTTGCTTTCGACATTTAGGACCATGATCTTCTGCCGTTGTAACAAGCGAACGGACCGAGACGCTACGCATCTGAGCCTGTGGCTTCTTTTCCACCGCGCAGTTTAGCGATATCATGATGTTCACGAATCACCTGCATTGTCAACGTGGCTGATCCGGAGAACTATAGACGATTTGCAAGCAAGGCATCTGGCCGCCATGTCTCTACTCGTTCGGCCAAGTGAATGCAATCACAATCCTGCCAAAGCTACATTCAGGCTCACGTCGCACATGCCTGCATTCTTGGGCACAAATGAGAAACAAGCCTTTTCGTATTTCCCCAAAAACATTTATAAAAAAAAAAAAAAAAAAAATCCGCCTTCTCGCGGAATGTTACTAACTTCCCCTTGCATGTGTTGAATTAAGGTACATCTAGGTGCATGTTAGATTAGCTTCACGTTATTTTATCGAGAGAAACACTTTTCAAACGCATAAAAAAAATCGCTTCTTCCTTCGACAACCAAACTTTTCAATAACTACTTCGTGCAACGCGTAAAAATGCGTAATTTTTTTGTGACAATTTGTTTAATAAGATTTATTTCGTTACGTTGAACAACGAAGCTATATGTGGAGCTTCCTCGCAGAATCTGGAGCAATTTCGGAGCGCTCTTGCTTTGGTATCTTCTTGGTCGTGAAAGCGGGCCCTCGCATCTGCCGCACCTATAAGGCGCGAGCATGCATTCTAGAAACAATCCCTCCTAGAAACGTTCTTGGACGGCCCCAAGAACTCTTGCAGCTTGTGAAGAACGGTTTCGCTTCATGCACCATCCCCCCCCCCCCCCCCCCCCTGATGCACTAGAAAGGCAACCGGGCGATGAAGAACTCTTTCGCATCAAAAAAGGAGCTGGCTTACAGGTCCCCCTAATAGGGTTCTCACGAAGAACCATTTTGGGGGACGCTTAGAAGAACGTTTTATGGTGCAAAATAAGGACCGGGTTCTTCGGCTTGTCCATATTTTGTAGCGCACAAGGTGAAACCGTTCTTCACAAGCTGAAGAGTTTCAAGAACGGATTGTTTTTAGATTGTGGAGCGCCTTCGAAATTGCTTCGAACTGACCAAAGGCACTCCACCTGAGGCTGTATATGCACTGGGGTTCAAATAACAATGGTGAAACGAATCCGCTCGGTTTCATCATCAAATAGATGAGCGCGAATTAGTATTGCATCTTTAGCAATGGCGCTCGCAACCGCTTTGCGAAAGCGGCGTAAGTATGCGCGTTTAATTCTGACGTGATAACGCCGAGATAAATAAGTCTCTCTGCATTCCTATTCTGCCGCGGTTAAGACCTCGAGTGAGCGGGAGGAACAGGCGGAAACACGGTTGCTATTTGACGGAGGATAAATTCTCCTATAGAGCTTACTGGCATTTAAAAAACTGAGAGCATCGCGTTGGAATCGCGAGCAGATTCCTTTGCGAGTGTGCATGACATTTGGTTAGATTTCACTCGGAATGCCGGCGTCTACAGCTATAGAACTTCTTAATGTCACCCATGAAACATGGTTCTAACGTTTGATGGGTCCAAAGAAGAAGTGCAGCTTGCGGATTCATACGTCCTCGCGAAGTTTGTGTTCTGAAGGGACAAACGCGTAAGTGTTTCTTCAAGCTCCCGAGTCAAAAGAAAGAAAAGTCGCCTCTCCTTGATGTGTTTTGACAGTTACCCAGAAACAAAAGTACTAGATCAAAATTTAAAAGAATATAACACACGAAGATTTTGGTGCGTTACTGTATCAATAGGCAGTGCGAAAATTTGTTCCTGGCACCGTTCAAATGCTCACTGTAGTCGCTGAAGGCTTAAGAAAGGCAGGGCATGGCCAGTCCCGCGCATCTCATTATCGTTTCTAAGCCAATCAGATTGAGGCATCAACCAATAAGAACGCGGAACAACGAAAGCCGAAAACGTCAACATAATAAGCCACGCCCCGTGTTTCTTCAGCTGTCACTGGCTTCAAACTCGATCAGGCTTCTTGCTTCGCGATTCGTTCATCGCAGTTCTACTAATCCCGCTATCTGATTCGCTGGGAAGCGTTAATGAGATGCACGGTACTCGCCACGCCCTGCGTTTCCCAAGTTGGCACTGGTTTGATCCTGATCTGTTCTTGTCCAGGAGCTGCGGTGACTTCAGAAAGACACCGATCTGTGATTGGCTCTGATTGAAGGATAGTGGGTAGACCTCAAAACCAGCTGTCCTGAGGTCTTCCCCCTATCCTTCATTCAGAACCAATCAGGGCTCGGCGTTCTGACGCCACCACAACCCCGGAAAAGGAATCAGACGAACTTAAGCTCCGGATAAGTCGGTGAGTGGTGAAGAGTTCAGGGGGAAACTCCTTCCACTTTTTTTCCTTTTAGCGAAGCGAACGCTGGAGAGGAGGTCGCCTCTTCTCCAGCGTTCGCTCTGCTAATGTGGAAAGACGTGGGAGGAGCTTCCACTGAACTCCTAAACAGCCACTGGTTATAGGCTCTCAAGACGGAGTTTAACAAACGTTAAAAAGGAACTCGGGTCTCTGGTAACGTTCCGCCGATTCAATGTAATCTTCGGGCGGCGGAGAAAAGCTCACCGGAGAAAAGCTCACCGCTATAGGCCTGTGTCAATACTGCCAGTCTTTTCAAAGGGACTTGAAAAAGTTATTCATATCCGCTTGTCGAACTTTTTTGATAAACACAAGCTAATTACAAGATCCCAGTTTGGATTCAGAAAGCATAAATCAACTGAACTTGCCTTACTGGAACCGAAAGAATTTATTTTGGGAAATCTAGAGAAACGAAAACTAGTACTTGGTATTTACGTTGACTTTACAAAGGCTTTTGATTTTCTAAACCATGAACTATTATTGAAAAAGCTGGAATATTATGGAATTCGCGGACAAGCTTTAACTCTTCTTCAATCCTATCTTGGAAACCGCAAACAATACGTTTGTTGTAATACTTTCGTTTCCACAGTTAAATCGGTAATATCGGGCGTACCTGAAGGCAGTATTTTGGGACCTTTTCTTTTTAACGCTTATGTCAATGATATTGTGAACCTTGACCAGACAACTAAATTTGTTATATATGCTGACGATGCGACGCTTCTTTTTACTGCTGATAAGGCAGACCAACTTATATCTATGGCCAACACAGTACTAGATAAATTAGGACAATGGACCGATAAAAACGCTTTAAAAATAAATACCAATAAAACAAAAGCTATGATATTTAGGCCGAAAAATAAAGTTATTTCTCCATTAGAACACATTTATATAAACTCAGTAAATATTGAATTGGTTGAGTCATTCAAAACGCTTGGCGTTGTGTTTTCACAAAACATGTCATGGGACCATCATATTGAGTATTTAAAAAATAAATTAGCAAAAGTCGTAGGTCTGGTATATCGGAATCGATATATATTTCCGAGGTCGGTAAAATTATTACTGTATAAGACTCTATTTTTTGCTCATTTAAGTTACTGCCACCTAGTTTGGGGTACTACCACGGCAACAAATCTTAAGATAATACATTTACTTCAAAAACGAATGTTACGTATAATTGCCAATGTGCCATTCTGCTCGCATACAGAAAACCTGTTCAGAATTTATAATATATTAAGTATCCACAACATGTATAATTATAGGCTGTCTACAAAGTATAAACATGAATTGTGCAGTAACAGTACTTATATAATTGAACTGTCTGGTTTAAACCAACGCGTCCCCAATTATCAATTTCGAAAACCTGATTACTGGAATGTACCTACTTGCCGATTGAACCTAGGAAAAGAAATGTTGTGCTATAAATTATCTAAACTGCTTAATTGTTTTATTCACAGTGATGTTGACGTAGGCACTATAAGCATGAAAGAATTGCGTGCGTTGATGTACCATTTTGTTGTAGACGACTAATGTTTTTGGTGTGTGTTTTTTTGGCGTGTGTGTTTTTAACGTGTTTTTTTTTTTTTTTTCTTGTCTCTCTTTTGCCTTGTCACTGCTGCAGAATGTAGTTCGGGGGCCGAGAGCTCGTCAAGCCGTTTCGTGCGGCTTTTTTTCTCGGCCTCCACCATTGTAAATGGAAAATAAAATATATATTATAAAACCGGCAGATGCGGAGAAAAGCTCACCGGCCTTTGAGCGGATGCGGAGAAAAACTCACCGATTTTTTTAACTTAGCGGATTCTGCGTCAAACGTTGCAATTTAACATAATTCGCACTTGTCACTTTATTACAAATATATCCAGTTTTTTGTAATGTTCTTGAAGTTCATTGGGCATATTCAATAACTCATCAGAAATTAGTAATCACACATTTTGTATATTAATGAATTCGCAAGGTATAAAATCAGAACATCTTACACCGGTAAAAAAGACAACAGTTTATTGACAACTGGCAGTGTGCCGTCGGCAGCTCTATCAATAAAGAGGTTTGTCCTTTCCGAGCTAGTATGAATAGGGGTGTGGAACCGTTTCAGCCCAAAGATTGTGTAGTGCCTAATAGATACGTAACTGTTTGTTGATGTAATCAGTGTTGGCTACGCTGTTTTCCTTCTGTTAATTTCACTAACAAAACTTTAGTTGCGAGAACAGCTTTGTTGTCTTCACTCCGTCGTCGTTGTTTGAGCGGTTTTCATCATGTATAATGTTTACCAACTCGCCCGATATACTACCTTACAGAATGCTAGTTCTTATTTAGGTCACGAGAAACAACGGTGCCAGTGGGGAGCTCTGAAGGTCGCGGGTACTTCGCAGTACAAGGGCATTATCACACAAAGGCAACGTGTGGAACCAGCAGCACGAACGGCTAGAAAACGTGCTTCCCTGTGAAAATTTAAAGAACGCAGACAACTTACAACTGGCTTTTTTTTTTTTTTTAAGGTGAGTTTAACGACGTGGAAATCAGCGAGTTGTCCAAGCGGCACTCGTGTGGCGTGCACTACTGGTTTGCCGACTACCGACCTTCTTCAACTTAAAAGTTTTGTTTTATATCTCTAGACCACGGTGTAGGAAGGAGAGGTGTGTGAACGACTCGAAGGCGTAGCGCGACGGTCGCGTCCAATAGTTGTTCACGTTCCCTCCTTTTCTACGAGAGGGCGCCACGGGTAGAGCGGGCCATACCGGTCATACGCGAGAGGTCCGTTTGGGTCGGAGTGCTTGTGACTTCGGGTGTCTGCCGCAGTTTCCGCAGTTGCTGTCGCATTTTTGAGTTTGTTCGGTGACGTCTTGTCTTATTTCGTGTGAGTTTGAGTTTGTTCAATGTATCTGTGGCCATCGGTCAGCTAAGAGTATGGGAAGGAAGTGTTTCGCACCCCGTTGTAAAACGGGGTACAAATCGTGCTCCCAAAAACTTTCGTTGTTTTGTGCGCCAAAAGATGAAGAGCGGCTCAAAGTGTGGAGGAACGCTATACCACGAAAAGATCGAGTCCTCCAGTCTTCGGACTACCTGTGTGAGCGGCACTTCGAGACACATTTTGTGAGTAAGACGTGGGAGGCTGTGTACAACGGCAATGTTTTGATCAGCACGCCTCGGAAAGCGTCATTGTCAAAAGACGCCGTGCCAACAAAGTTTCCGGATTGCCCGACTTACCTCTCGAAGGAAACAAAGCGACGAAAAAGGCCTGCTGAGAGGCACAACAGGGGCGCACCGGCGAAGAAGCCATGTACAGAAAACAAAAGTCCGGACCGACCGTGTCAGGTGTACAGCGACCAATCTACAGTGATGGAGATCACAGGGGAAAATGACGGTGCTGCAACCACGTCTGACTTGCCCTTGAATGCAGCACCCGTGTCAGCGCTGTCAACCTTCAACAAACTGTTCGAGAGTCCGGAGTGTGTTCTGCTTCCATCCGCAGCGTGGGGCTTTCACAGATTGCAAGTTGATGACCTGTGCAATCTTGTGTTTAGTGAGTTGCGTTGTGTTCAGGATCCCCAATGCGCAGGGGACACTACCCGCATGAGTCACATGGTGACAGTGAAGCTCATTGATATTGATCAGGACATGAGAGCAAATATCTTTCTGATGGGGAAGCGTGTCTCTTGTGAAGCGTTGGGCTTTACCTGTGAGGTTTCAACTATTGAGGATGTCGAAAGCCTACTTGGGAAGTTGGAGGGGATCCACCTTTGCGGTGGTGGGCCAACAAAAAAAATGTATCCCGAAGTACAACCAGAATGTGCTTTTCTTGATGCTTGCGGACGGTGGCGGCACAAAAAGTGCGTGCAGGTTCTTCCTGCCGCTGGTTCTTGCCAGAAGTGTGCTGGTTTGGCAGATACATTGCGGATTCACCAGAGGAGGGCACAGCTCCGAAAGCAAGAGAATGGAGCTCGTACCACTTTCCGGCTTTCGTCTCTTGCAAACGATCAGAAGGTGAGAGTCACTTTCAGACGAGCACAATATGCGCTGAAACGGGCCAAGGATCGCTTGGTGAAGAGAGTTAAAAGGCTAGAGCAAGCACTGAAAACAGCACAGAACAAGTTTTGTTCTATCTCAGATGAATCTCTACAGGAGAAGTTGAGCCAACTGAACATTCCGGCTGCACAGCTGACCGTGGTACAAGAGTGTGTGTCTGCAGCAAAGGCCTCGAGCAAGAAAAACCGGCGGTACACCGAGAACTGGCTACTGTTGTGCCTGCTGTTGAACATTCGGAGCCCCTCCACCTATGCTTTTTTAAAGGACAACGAAATTCTGCCATTGCCTTGCGTCACCACTGTGCGAAAATACTTATCAACTGTCCGTGTGAAATGTGGGTTTGATGCTAGGTTTTTTGCAGCCTTCAAAAAGAAGATGTTGTCTAAAGACCCATTCAGACGACATGGTGTGTTAGTCTTTGACGAGATACAGGTGCGGAAAGAGATGCGCGTTAACTCGAAGACAATGACTTACACCGGGTTCACAGACTTTGGCGACATCCAACCAGCCAGTGATGAACTAGCCGACCACGGGCTTGTGTTTTCTTTTCGTTCTTTTGGGGATAAGTATTCGCAACCAGTTGCCGTTTTTGCAAGTAAGGGGCCCACAAAAGGCACGGTGCTGGCTCAGCTTGTCATGAAAGCTGTCATTTTGCTAGAAGAGGCGGGTTCATTTGTTGATGCCATAGTTTCTGATGGAGCAACCACGAACAGGTCGATGTGGAAGCATTTTGGAGTTAGTGGTTCTCTGACGGGCACAAGAAACTCGTTCACGCACCCATTAGATGAAAAGAGAAGTGTGTATGTTTTCTCCGATGCTCCACATTTGATCAAGTGTGTCAGAAATCGGCTTCATGCCCAGAAAATATTAAGCACTCCCAAAGGCCTAGTGCTTTGGTCACACTTCGATACCTTGTATGTTGAAGATGAAAAAAACCCAGCTTACTTGAAGGTGTGCCCTAAACTGACATATGCCCATGTAAACCCGTCAAACACTTTGAAAATGCGAGTGAAGTTGGCTACACAGCTGTTTAGCCGCAGTGTTGCTGACGGTCTAAAATATTATTCAAGTAGGTCGGTCGCACGCCTGTATGATGTTAAAGCCACAGTGGACTTTACTATGCGCTTCAACAACCTCTTTGATGCTCTCAACAGAAATTTGCCAAAGGAAGGTCTTAAGCCTGGGTGCAGTGACTTTGACGTCCTAGAATCATCTTTGAAGTGGCTGAATGAGTGGGAGCAAATGGTCATTGATGGTAAAATACAGAGAGCTAACTTCTTGACACACTCGACGGCAGAAGGGTTACGTGTAACTATCTTGTCTGCTCTTGGCCTCTCTAACTACTTGTTAAAAGAATGCAACTTTGCATATGTTCTAACTGGAAAAATGAATCAGGACGTTCTTGAGAGGTTTTTTGGCATCATTCGACAGGCAGCGGGACAAAATGAACATCCATCGATGCCGACGTTTTTACAGCTATATAGTATGCTTTCTATATACAGCTTAATCAAGCCACCAAAGTTTGGCAACTGTCAAACCGAACTTGGACAGGAAGCCCCATGCTTGACTCTGTCGGACCTTACGTCAGCGTTTAAAGATGACCTTCAAGAAGAGACCAAGCTACAGCAACTTAGGAGGAGGCTAGATGGTTACATCGGTCAGGAGCTTGAGTGGGAAGAGGTTTTCGACCATTCTTATGCTTCTTGTGAAGTTGTGGACTGTATAATATACTATGTTACTGGGTACATGTGCCGCAAGCTCCTTAAAAGCACAGAATGCCATGTGTGTAAACGTGGGCTTGCTGTACCCTTCTCACACTCTCAGAAGCCTGAGGCAGCCCTTGTTAATTGCAAGACCCTGGGGAGGCTCATTCACCCCACGACTAGTATTTTTGTTCTCCTCCGTGCAACGGAGATGGAATTTCAGAAGCATTGTAAGAAAAGGAATGCTTATGAACTAACACTAGACAATGTCTTGGACAGCAACTGGCTGTCGTTTCCTTGTCCCAGCCACAAAGACGACATAATCACTAAGATCTTGCACTATTATGTTGCACTGCGAATGAGACAATATTGCAAGCAGCAAAAGGACAAAGAAAACAAGACGAATCATCTCAGAAAACTCTCAAAGCTTGTGCGACCAAACTGAGTGATGTTTTATGATGTACTGTTTGAGATAATTATTTTTTCAGAAGTGTAATAAACAAATTTTCATGCCTGTAAATATGTCCGATAGCTATTCGACAAAAACATGATAATTCTTGAATATTTTGCGGTGACAACACAGCATGAACATCGCTGCTGTGAAGTTCACGACGTCCTCAGATTTCTCACTTTGAATTTCACAATGAATTCGCGCACATAACATGTTGAACATGCACGTTGCCTGGGTATAAAACCTACAAGCAGGCTGCAGGGCTGCAGCAGCATCCGCGTCGATAAGGTCAAAATTAATCCTGAATCTTTCGCAAAGAAACCCTGGCAGGCTCTCTTCGTAGCTTCGAGGCTGACGTTGGGTAGCCTCGCACAGAATCGCTCGCGCGCGCAACTAGCATGCCTTGGCATTGGGCGCTTCAGAGTTTTTAGACCGAGTACGCCATGATGCGAAGTTCTACTCAGGCGATGACAAGCGCAGAGTTAAAGAGCAACTCTCCAACGCCAACGTCGTTTCGCACACGAGACAACAAGCACCGAAATCGGGCACAGGATGCAAACGCTCGCTGTCGTTACGTTGGAGTTTAGACCACGACCTTCTCGTCGTTTGGACAGCCCTTCAGCTATTCAAAATTATAAACATTGTTTAACAAATGCACAATTAGGCTACGCCGAAAATGAGGCGCGCGCTCCGTGCCGTGCAAAGCGCACAGAAATTCACGGCTCTGATGGCCCGGGATCGTGTAGCGCCACCTGCCGACGCGCCCATCAACCATGAACTAAGTTTTCCCACGCCGACGGGCCGCGTTGAGTCACCTCTCCTTCCTACACCGTGCTCTAGACTGAGAGGAACGTACCATCTACTAGCAAAATTGAGCAGCCACGGATAAATAAAATGCATCATGTATTTAGGCGCAGAACACGCAATTCCATGTGGATGCAAATTGTAACAGATGAATGGCGAAGCTTTGAGCGTAAGTGTAGGAGAATAAATTTAGATAAGAATGCTGAATGATATGTGCGACAATACGGCGCCGATAAAGCTTCCATTGCTTGCTGATTTGATTTCAAATCGCGTCCATACTGCTGTTTTTCTAGGAATTTTTTTTTTCTTTTTTTTTTGTGTGCTTTACGTTTTAAAGATAGGCGTTAGTCCTTGAAATATTATTTTTTTTATCTGAATGATGATAATGCTGACCCGTGCTGCGTTCGTAGATAATACAGATAAGCCGGATGTGCAGCAATATGCGGGGCTTGTGTGCAGACAAAGACAAGGTTATCTTACAACATCACTACTATAGCTGGAACTGCATAGAATCGCGGTACACCCTAAGCCGTACGCCTGATTATACGATGCTTTCCCGAGAATGGCAGGAAATATATATACGTTAGTGAACAAAAGGTAAGGGCGCAAACGAGCTGGTGGGGGTTAAACATTTCGACAAAAACCCCGAGACTGGGACAAAAATATATATATATTTTTTTAAGTTTCAGTTCCTTGCGAGGCACTGCATATATCTGTGTTTTTCTTGCTGACGATGAAACTCGAACTATATGTCAAAGCTCCTGCTATTTTCTCGCTGATGAGTTCTCTTTTTTTTTACGCTGCAAATCGTAAAGCATGCATACCTTGTTTTTTTGTGTGTTTTTTTTTTTTCTTGTGCCGCGCAAATGTCAACGCGGTGGCCCGCGGCTTCGTCAATTTATCCTTGTGACAGCTTTTTTCTACACGCGTCTATTATCATGGACTTAGTACCTGATGCAACTAAACAAATTAAATCAAACCAAATAAAAAAAAATTGCAGCCGACAGCCGAGGTGCTGCACACTTGACTGTATGTGAATTTCGTCAAGGGACTGTATGCTTCGCACGAACTACATTCGTGGCCTCGTGCATTTTTCCGCTAAACGTAGCGGGGCAATACACAAACAAATGTTCCCCTCAATTGAGCGGAGCGCCACGAGCTTACACGAAACGCACTCGGGGATCGGCTAAGAAACCTTAACGAAACCGTGCGTGGACACACGTTCATAATTTTTTTCGTCGCATAAAGAAAAAGGGAAGTTTTTCGGGCATTATTCCTGCGCCGCACAAACCAGTTTTTACAATATTTGGCTGTCCGAGAAAGGTACTACGCTATGGCCAGAATCCCCCCCCCCCCCCCCCCCCCCCCCCCGCCTTGATATATCTTAATTCAACTCATAAAGATAAAAATCAGTAATGCTTTTGCGAGAATCCGGACCTCCCTTACTCTTTACTTCAATTCCTGAGGTGAATGCGACTATCGTATCATGGTTTGCGGATGGATGAACCGCATATTCAGTACCCTTACAAACTTACGTGAAGAACTTGGGTGTACGGGATAACCATTAAAAAGTCTTTTGTAGGCTTTTTTTTTTTTCATCCACTACGCTTTTTGCAACAAACACCTATACGGCGCACGCGCGCCGCTAACCTTGTTTGCGTACAGTTCCGATCTAGTAGCGGGTTACGGAGTAAGCGTTACAGAATGGTGGAAACGACCTACGAAACCTCTCCAAAGCCGCGATCCCATCATGCAGATTGGTCGTGCAAGAACCGTCTGTAGACATGTTCCAAGGATACATATACGTGAAGCAAACGTGCTTGGAGAGTCGTGTCCGCAGAGGATTTTGTCATCGTGTCTGCAGCCAGTCTTTTGTATGATGCACGATCAGTGTGACTGCAACTTAATGCTGCAAGGCCGCCCGGGAACGGTAGTAGCGCGAAATCCGAAGGTGCCACCAGTCATGCATGCCGCTTCATTACGTGTTGCGCAGTTGGTGTACGGCGCTCGCTCGCACACAACCGGGGTGACTTTACGCAGCCTCACGACGGCGCCCGTAGCGAAAGTTTTTCTCGGCGCCACCGGAAAATAGAGATCCGAACTTGGCCAGCTCCGCGGCCGCCGTTCGTCTCGTGGCAACCTCGCGGCACGGCAAGGTATCCGGACGGATGCTCCATCAACGTCCCGGCGGTGGATTCCGTCCTTGGAAGGGGTCGTCCGGCAGCGCTGAGGCTTCCATGAATCATGTCCCCTATAAACCCGCCCGTAAATTAATAATCTCGCGATGGAGACGGAAGGGTCCCCGGTTACGCTGGCGACTCCCGTTCCCCGTTGACGGTGGCGGACCATTATTATTATTTTATTTTTTTATTT